CACGCTGCTGCCCCGCGCGTCGCGCTCTACTGCAGCCCGCTCGTCGCGCCCTGCTGCCCCGCGCGTCGCGCCCTACGGCAGCCCGCGAGTCGCGCGCTGCTGCCCCGTGCGTCGTGCTCTGCAGCAGCCCGCGCGTCGCGCCCTGCTGCCCTGCGTGTCGCGCCCTGCTGCAGCACGTGCGTCGCGCCCTGCTGCCCTGCACAGCGCGCGCCCTGCTGCCCGCGCCACCCAGGCCGAGGTGAGCCGCCCTACCCGAACCGATCCACCCTGCTGCTGCTGCTGCTGCTGGTGGAGGTGGTGCTAGGAGTGCTGGAGGTGCTGGAGCCTAGCCTCACGAGCCGCTCTACTATTCGTCTTACTGCTGCTGCTACTCGTACTACTGCCTTCACTCCGTACTGCCCTAGAGGTCGCGCTCCTCCTAGCTTGCCCGCCATGAATTCACTTTGTAGTCGCGGTGGGAGTGGTGACGGCGGTGGTGGCAGCAGTGGGAGTTGTGGCGGCCGTAGTAGGAGTCACTGTGGAGCTGTGTGGTGTGGAGTCTCTGGCGGTGGCCAGATGCAGCTACGAAGGCGTCCGACCCTTACGCCCCAGCAGCTTCGTGAGTGGCTTTACCAGCGTGGGACGTCTCCGAGTCCTGGTCGCTGTCCGTACGTCATTCGCACAGGTCGTCGAGCTGGTCAGACCTGTGGGACACCTGGTCACGCACGGTCCCGCTGCTTCGCCTATTTGACTGACGCCTGGCACGCAGAGTTTGGCGACGAGGCTGAGACCCCCCACTGGCTTGAGCTGCTTAGGTCGGGCGTTGATGTCTTTGCTTTAGACTATAACGCCATCCTTACGGCCATGTCTTGTTTGCCTGGTGGTGCTGCGAGTGATTGTTACCTGTGTGTGCAGTACGACCCCGGTATAGAGGTTGCTGCTCTAGGTGCTAGTGAGGCTGCTGCCTTAGGTGCTGGTGAGTCTGCTCTCTCAGGTACTGCGCGTGCTAAGGCCTTGCACACCTTCACGCTTGACTCAGGTGCTTCCCGCTGCTTCTTCCGTGACAGTACCGCACTCGCACCACTCCGTGCACCTGTTGCAGTCTCTCTGGCTGACCCCTCAGGGGGCCCAGTTCTTGCACGATCCACCACTGTGCTTCCGTGCCAGGCGGTTCCGTCTGGCTCACTGTCAGGTCACCACTTCCCCTCATTCTCGACGAACTTGGTGAGCAACGCCGTCCTCCAGGATCATTGGGTTAACACCTTTACCCCTGGAGGATAGCGTGTGGCGATCTGTACGTGCTCCAGGACTGGCCGTCACCTGGCCACATTCACCCGTCGGCCAGGGTCGAGTCTTTACACACTGACGACTATGTCTCCTCAGCTAGCTGCTGTCGGTCAGGTGCCTGCGTCAGGTCTGGTAGCCTCCCCCTGTGAATGTCGCTCCCTGTCGCACCAGACTCTTCTCTGGCACCACCGCCTGGGTCACCCCTCCTTGCCACGTCTCCGTGGCATGCACCGTCGCCTCCTTGTGTCTGGTCTTCCCAGGTCTCTCCCTTCCCTCCCTGCCTCGCCTGCGCCGCCCTGCCTTCCTTGCGTCGAGGGGCGGCAGCGCGCCGCTCCTCACTCCTCCTCTTTTCCCCCGACAGAGGCTCCTCTGCAGACCCTCCACCTAGACGTGTGGGGCCCAGCCCGTGTTCATGGACAGGGCGGTGAGCGGTACTTTCTACTGGTTGTCGACGACTACTCGCGTTACACCACGGTCTTCCCCTTGCGTTACTCAGTGGAGCCTTCGCCGGCCAGTCTACAGTCTCCGTCAGGCGCCTCGCGAGTGGCACGACACATTGTGGACGACGCTTGCGGCTCTTGGGTTTGCTCCTTCGACTGCTGACCCGTCGTTGTTTCTGCTCACCGACACTTCATTGCCGCCGTTCTACATCCTCGTATACGTTGACGACTTGGTCTTTGCCACTGCTGACACTGAGGCTCTCGCCCTTGTGAAGTCGGAGCTGCAGAAGAGACACGCGTGCACAGACCTGGGTGAGCTGCGCAGCTACCTTGGCCTGCAGATCACCCGGGACAGAGCACGGCGCACCATCACACTGACTCAGTCACACATGGTGCAGCAGGTCCTTCAGCGCTTCGGCTTCACTTGGTCCTCGCCACAGGCCACTCCTCTGGACACCGGTCACTCGCTCTCACCTCCACCTTCGGACGAGTCCGTAGAGCCGAGTGGCCCGTACCCAGAGCTAGTGGGCTGCCTCATGTATCTGATGATCTGCACTCGTCCTAACCTCGCGTACCCTCTTGGCCTTCTGGCACGCTACGTGGCTCCTGGTAGGCACCGAAAGGTGCACATGGATTTTGCGAAGAGGGTATTGCGCTACTTGTGCAGTACATCGGGCATGGGGCTCGTGCTTGGAGGGCGGAGCTCAGTTGTCCTCACTAGGCACTCAGACGCTTCTTGGGTTGACGACCTGGCTACGCAGCGGTCGTCACAGGGTTACACGTTCAGCCTTGGCTCTGGCTCTGTTTCTTGGCGGTCTACACGCTCATCTTCTGTTCTCAGCTCCAGTTGTGAGGCTGAGATCTACGCCACAGCCATGGCTGCACAGGAGCTACGCTGGCTCACCTACCTGCTGACCGACTTGGGAGAGAGGCCTCGTTCTCCTCCTGTTCTGTACGTCGACAACAAAGCTGTCATTGCCTTGTGTTAGGACCACAGACTGGAGCACAGAACGAAGCACATCGCTTTGCGTTACTTCATTGCTCAAGAGTTGCAGCAGCGTGGTCAGCTTCGTATCGCTCACGTGCCCACCCGGGCTAACACGGCTGATGTGTTCACCAAGGCCCTTCCGGCTGGTGATCATCAGCGCTTCTGCACTGCTCTAGGCCTGGTGCCTACGTTTCCTCGCTTGCTGTAGACTCTGGTTGTACTTTGATCTATATATATATACCTGCATGTTTACTCTTGCTAGGTAGTGATCACTGTACTGTTGTTGTTGCATATATACCTCTGCATGTGAACTGGTCTTGTGGCCCTTTGCTTGTGCTCGGAGTGTGTGGTGACGTTGTGATCCACCCTGAGCTTGCTTTGTTTTTCTTGACTGGTCTTGTGACCCCTTGTTCTCTCCCACTTTACCTATGGGGATGTGTCAAACCATATATGTGCTAGTTGTGTGTAGGCTATAGTGGGGTAGCCCATGTGGGGTACAACTAAATATTAGGGTTAGTACTTGTACCCACAATTCATTCAATGCAATCATTCCTGCTTGCTATCTTGACACCTGACCCATACCACCGCATACGTACTTCTCATCACGACTGCCCAATCAGGGTTGCATACGGTCCAGGGCACGTTATGGTTCAGCCACGACGTGCCCATCTAGAGCACGATTCCCCTCCACCAAGGCATAGAGATGACCAGCTCAGCTCCTCCGCGGGGAATCTTGACAGTGGCCACCCCTTCCCCGCATAGGAGGACGGGCCGCAAAACTGAAGGGGTCTCGGGCGAGGGCTTCATACGGCCCTCATTCTCAACTTTCTCTTCACTTTTTTTCCTTCTGTTGGCCTGCCGTGGCCATGGCGGGCCTTCCAGGCACGCATTTTCTGTTCCGCCGCCAACCTGCTACTAGAGAAAATACGCGTAGAGACAACCGTCACTACTCGCAATGGCAGAGCCGCCCTGTGCCCGTCCCTCCACCACAGCCAGTTGTGCCTCCCGTTCCTCCCACTCCTCCAACGCCTCCTAACCCTCCCACTCCCCTGGCGCCTCCGGCTCCTCCCGCTCCTCCGTCCCCTCCCGAGCCGCCTGTCTTCGGTGTTCCACGTCAGGGGGTTTTGCAGCTTCTCCTTCCTCCTGGCTACTCGGCGTTCAACGCTTGCCTGTCTGAGCCCGTGGATCTCAATGGCTTGGAAGGCCATGCCCAAGGACATGATTCAATTGGCATTTCTCACCTGCGGCATTAGCAACGCCCTAGATGGGTCCCAGGACAAGCTCTGCCTGCAACACAGGCGAGACGAGCTCGAAGGCGATGAAATCGAGATGGATGATAAGATCGCAGCAGGCTGCAGGTGGCGTATTCTGCAACAACGTAGAGGAAACTGTGTCGGACTCCGAGGCCAACTAGAGTATGTCAAAGCTATGTTTATGTTATATCCTACTTGCTGTAGTTTAGTGTAGTTTTTATCACAAACTTCTGGCGGTGCACCTTCTGCTTCTTCCCTATTTGTACTTCAAACCCTCTAGTGAAACGCCTCTTTTGTTGGCCAACTATCGCTTCTCCCTTCCCTCTTGTAACTGCCGTGATTGCCTAGCTATGGCTCCTAAGCCTAGCTTCCTTTTGACAGAGTAGACGTAGGGAAAATGATGTACTAGCCTGTGTTTGAGGCTCGTAGGTAGATATTAGTTGCAAGTAATCTTAGATAAAGGTTGAAATTGTTTTTGTGAGCGAATAACTTAATATAAAAAAGACTTAAAATAGGGTGGCAGTTATATTGTGTAAGGCACAAGTATGCGGCTATAATCCATAAGCCTAGTATAAGTATGCGCCTATAATCGAGGAGCGGATATAAGCGCCATATGCCAATTATAAGCGCCAGCCGCTTATCCTAGGGTGACGCTTATATCCGGGGGGTGACGGTAAGTAGGCAAGGCACGTGCTGGTTACTCTGATTGCTTTAACTGCCATTCATGCCACCAGCGACACGAATTGGTTGCTCTGCTCGTCAAAGAAAACGACCAGATGACACGTTCTTGTCGATTCTTGCAAAGTGCAAACTTTGTCTTGAATAATGATGCTACGAGAGTGTCAACCTCACAGTGACTATTTCTATCACGGTACATGCTACTGCACCACATGAAGAGCACGGGACGGGAGCAAGCTTATGCCACCCATGTGGCACTGCACACCCACACTACACGCCGTGTACAACCTACAAAGGAAAAGTTATGCCAGGCACGCACATGACATGATGATGTTATCGTGTAGAGATCCATCCATCCGTGCCACCTTGGTCCAATCACGTGGGTGGACCCAACCACGATTTTCCATCATGTGAACCGGTGCCTGCTGCTTCCCGTACAGCAGCATCTGACTGCTCCCTCTGCAGCTCACCTCTCTCCTCCTCCACCAGGTCACACTCCATGCTACCTTCCCTCCAACTCTCTGTTCCATCGCCCCATTCACTCCCACTTTCCCTCCTCCTCCGGCCCGATCTACTGCCACTACCAGCACCCCCACCCAGCACCCCTCCTCCACTTCTCCAGAACCCTGCAGCCTCCTTCTCCTCGTCGCCCATCTCCCCCACCACCAGATCCTGCCACTCAAGCAGCATCATCGGCGTTTGCGGCCGCGGGTGATGCATCCACCACTCCTCTTCTTCCTCTTCCTCCTCTTCCTTCTCCTCCTCTTCCTTCTCCTCCCCTTCCTCCTCCTCCGACTCCCCCGCGTCCTCATCCTCTCCCCACCCTTCCTCCAACTGCCTCGCCCCATCCATCTCTTCCCCACTCTCCTCCCAGGCGTTCTCATCGGCAACACACCCTTCTCTTACCATACCCTTACCGCCGCGCCTGAGCCCATGAGCTGATCCAGACCCATCAACTCCACTGCTACAGCCAGATGCACCAGCAGAGAGCAGATAGGAACACCCGTAGCAAGGCAAGGGAGGCGGTATGAGCGCTCGGGTGCATCCCCTCTCATACCACGGCCAATGGGCTGCTCCTTGCGTTGCCACACCTCCTGCTGCCGTTGCTACTCCTCCGCTCACCCCTCTTCCTCCTCCTCCCCTAAGCCTTCCTCCCCCTCTTCCTCCACCTTCGCCGCCTCCTCCCCTTACTCCTTCTGCCGCCGATGAGAGCCCTGGGATTCGCGGTGGTTTAGGGTGCGTCGCAGCAGCATCGCATCTAAGGGCGATTGGCGGCGAATAGCCCGGAATGCACGGAATGGTCGGTCGCCGTGCCTGCTGCGCGCTTCCGCGACTGCTCGCTCTCACCTCATTCCCACCCCGGCGACCGCCTGCCCAGCTGTCGCCCAGCGATCGCACATGGTCGCCCATAAACCGCACACTCTCACCCACAAGTCGCCCAGCGAACCACTCGCCTCGCCGACTGTCCCGAAGACTTCTACCGTCGCCCCCTCTCCCGCGTTCTTCCGCGCCACTCCCGCCCTCCGCCAACGTTCGTCTTTCCGCAGAAAAACAGCCTCCCGCCACTCTCTGAATCTCGTCAAGCCTCCACCCATCCACCAGACCCTCTCCTCCTGATCCCTCCCCCCTCAAGTCAAGTCCAGCCGCGCCCGCGTGCCACCGGGGGAGAGCCTCCGCCACTGCTCCGCCCGCCCTCCACCCTGAAGGGGGCCTCCCCGCGCTTTTCGTGGGCCCGCGAGTTCTCGGCAGCAGACGGCACGCGCCAAGACACGACGGCTGCGCGCCCGGGGAGGACGGCGGGGACGGCGGAGAACACCCTTCCGGGGAAGTCCGGGTTCGTGCGGAATGCGCGCACGGGGAAGGGCAGCGAGGAGAGGGGAAAGGCGAGGGGGAGCGGGGAGGTGAGGCGGACATGAAGGGGAGCGGGGAGGGGGAGGAATTGGGGAAAGAGCAAGTGGTGAGCGAGGGGGAGGAGGCGGCGCGAGTGAGCATGACAGGGGTGTCCTGCGCGCTGCTGCTGCTGCACAAGCCGCTGCCGCTGCCGCTGCCGCTGCTTCTTCCGCTGCTTCCGCGGCTGCTCTGGCCTATGCTGCGCCCACTGGTACCTCCCGCGTCCCCTCGGCCCGCCCAGGGCTTAGTAAGGTCGTCGTCATTACTCTTCCTAATGGTCGTGTCCACACCGCGCCGAGCTCCTCTATTATTCGGTCCCGGAGCTGCTTCCTCCTCCGCCATTCTGCGGTCATCCTCAAATCCCGTCTCTGGCACGATTGCTTCCAGTCCTTGCTCCACCTTTCCGCCCACCACTCTGGCCTTCTTTCCGCGAATTGCTGAGCCCATCGTTTTCTCCGCCGGCCGCGCTGCCGCGGCATGAAAAGCGGAGAGACCGCACCTCTCGCACCCGTTGCCGTCCCCGAGAATCTTGCGCCGAGACTGCCTGAATGCGCCACCGCCTCTGCTCCCCGCACCTGCTATTGCGGCCATGTCCATCGAGCCGACGACGAAAGACTCGCCACGCCGGCCGCCGCGCCGGCTGATGTGCGGCGAAGGACGGCTGCGGGTGAATGGTCCCGTCAGGACCCTGCCGAAGCACGTAGGGTCAACGCACGATTCCGAATCGTCCTGCGATACCAAAGCATCACGACCCACATCGCGCAGCCTCGGGCCTAGGCTGTCGTTCCGCCTACCCTCGACCCTTCTTCCTTTGCCGCCTAAGCCGCCTCCGCTGCCTCTTCCGCCTCTGCCGCTTCCGCGGCCGCCTTGGGCGGAGCCGATCCGTCGTCGGGCACCGCACCACGTGTCATAGTCGTAGTCGTACCGAGTCGTAATATACGGATCGTCGCGGCTCCTTGGTTCTGCGAGCGGGCACCTCCGTTCGAGACAACTGTGCGGATCGCACGGTGCTGCGTGCGCAGCGACTGCCTCTTTTGTCGCGTTCGCACCCATCAGAAGAGTAATTGGCAAATTCTGGGCTCGAGAATGGAACAAAGAGGAGCGAGAAAAGAGTTCCGAGCTCTAGGAAAGCTGTTCTTGCTGCCTAGCGCGAAATCCGGCCGCGCTAAAAAGCATTTTCGCAGGTACTGGTTTCGAAAATGACCTAGGGACTGTCGCCGTGCCAAACTCGAATCAATCTGTATTGCTACGCGACTACATCAGCGGATCTGCACGGATTAACGAAATTACACTCAGCGAGACCATAACCTCAATGGACAGTTACTCTTGGCTACGAGTTGTGTCAGTTCTCGTTTGCGACGATGGTATACCTCATGAGCCTCTCATAAAGATACCTCAAACGCCCCTAGTCCCCAACCAATTACTCATGGTAGACTGTTCCTACAACCCACTTCCCCAAAATCCCGCAATGCAATGTTTGATAGCCCACTCCGCGGTCCCTGCCCCTTGCGAGTCCCACAAAAGCCAAACCCACTCAGTGTGGGGATGGTCAAGATTTCCTTTCCATCCATCCATCCATCCATCCCCTCCACCAGAACCCGCCAGAATCTCCCTACACGCGTGTCGCAAGTCCTTCTCTCATCGCGCATCCTCGAACCGCTTTAGCGCCGCTTCACGAATCACCACTCTATCCTTTCTGATCATCCCCGTTTGGTACTGACGGTAAAATCGTCGCGACTTGGGCACGGTTGAGACAACCGCGTTCGTAAGACCGAACAGACCAGTTAGGAGAAGGAGAGGCGACGCGCCACGTGTGAATACCCAGTCCGTTGGAGGGAGAATGATCGACATCGCCATCAGAGGGGAGTACACCCCTTACAGGTATCCCATATACTCCTAAGCTTACAGTTATTCATCTTGCATGCTTTCCCTGGCCATGCAATATCACAACGCTGGATAATTCAGCTAATGCTTCCTCCGAAATATACTCCTGAAAAAGGTTAGATAAGAGTATTAAATATTATATAATGTTCTTTGGTATAATCGGCATCAGATATAATGGGTATATAAGATATACTAAGAAACTATGATGTAGTATGTTATTGATTGTAAAAGAGAGTGCGTAGAATAACGAATAACGAGGCTGTAATGTTACGAATGGTGAAATGGGAAAGGCAGTGTGCACTCCTAACCGCAGCAAGTGAAGCATATAATGCCAGAGGTCCACTGGTGATTCCCGTTTGATCCTAGGGAAGGGTTACATGCATGTTGGCCTGGGGGGTTGTGGGTGCACTGACCCACTACTTGACAAGCCTTTTATCCTAGTGGTCTAGTGACTGGGATTCTGACATGGTATCAGCGCAAAGGTCTCGGGTTCGAATCCCAGTATGTGCACTTCGGGCATCCCAGTGCGGGGGGGTGTCAGAGGTCCACTGGTGATCACCGTTTGATCCTAGGGAAGGGTTACAGGCATGTCGGCCTGGGGGGTTATGGGCGCACTGACCCGCTACTTAACAAGCCCTTTTATCCTAGTGGTCTAGTGACTGGGATTCTGACATATAACCGAGGCTGAATGCGAAGATGCAGAGTGACGCGAGGAGTCGCGTACGGTTGCGGAGCATCTGGACCGTCAGGGCAGACAGCATCAGGCAGCAACAGTGGCGAGGATTCTGCCCAGACAGGTTCGTAACTGTCTGAAGTTGCACGGTTGGACTTAGCTGTAACAAGGGAATGTATCGTACATAGCTAGTTAGGTCGTTTCGTACTCCACTTGTACTCTCATATGTATGTTTGCATTAGCGTATTTCTATTATCTCGATCATTTTATAATCACCTTGAGTTGAGGTCAAGGGCCCACCACCACCACTCAGTTGTGTGGAACCTTCCCGAGGTGATATTGGGTGCGATCAACTTCTGATCGCAGCATGGTATGAGAGCGACTCGGGAATCCTTCGCACAGCCACCTCCGAAATCTTCGGCGATCGAAAGGTGGCGTCCGGCAACCCTCTCAACCGGCCTCAAATGGTCACAATACCGCCCCGCACAGCTTCTCCCTCGAAACGAATGGATCGACTCCCAAGAATCCCCGTCCTAGCGAAGAAGCAATTTTCCTTGCCCAATCAAGGTTCCTAAGCGGGCAACACCTATTGACGACACCTTTGACGCCAGGGCACAATATTACAATGAGTCCCTGATGGCGTACGGCTTCCTACTGCGGAATATGTCACCGGCGGAGCAGCTGAGCATACGATCGCACAAAACAACGTCTGCCCCAGCCCTCGACGCTTGGCGACATCTGAACGGTATGTACCAACCGAAAGACGAGGTTTCATTGAGCCGCCTGCTCCAGCAGCTTCTAGAGACAAAAATGGCCCCATTCGAGAAGGGCAACAGCTACATTAATCGCAGTCGGAGCTCATGCGATCAAATCGCAAAATTGGAAAGCAGTATTACTGAACAAATCTTCGTGAACATCGTGCTTCAAGGGCTCGGCCTAGAATGGTGGCCCTGCAAGGCGCTTCTCCGACCGCAGGGGGTTACCTCGGAAGCCTCTTTATGCGCCGCCCTCCTCGTCGAATAGAGAGACATGGACCAGCAGCGATTAGTGCAGCGAGGAGACAGGGAACGCCTCGCCTTCTACGCAGACAACACAGAAGAGCGGCGGCCGCGGCACCTTTACTGCAAAATCTGCGGAAAGTTCGGGCACTTGCCAGATCGATGTAAATTCCGATCTCACCCTCGCCAGACTAGTCAGACCACCTAGTCCGGCCGACAAGACGTACGAAACGACATGCGTCAAGCCCAGGAGCACCAGCCCCCATCGCGCAACCTGAACCCAATGGTTCGGCATCAGCAGCACCAGCCGTCACAGCCTGCCCGCCCGCAACGTCATCGGCAACATGACCATGACGGAAACCTGAGCCAGCACGCCACCCAATCGGAGCGTTCACGGACAACAATCCGTTCACTTCCCACCACGATTTCAGCGACGGACAATCGGGACTGGAATCTTCCAATTCCGTTGCTTGAAAGCCCCCCGCACGCACCTGAATCGTGGGCAGCACCGATCGATAGGATCTCGCGCGAGAAATTTATGAAATTTGACACACCGCACATCGTCACGCCGCGATTGGCGCTCCTCGCACGCGACGACAACACGTGCTACAACACCTGGTATCTGGACAGCTGTTGCGGGCAGCACATGGTCGGATCCGAACGTTTCGTCTCCAACGCCGTCACGACCCCAACGGTCACCTACGTCACCATGACCAACAATACCCGCCTGCACGCAATCGCGCAAGAAATCGTGGTGCTCAGGGCACGGAGAAGCCGCACGCACATCACACGTAACGATGTGCTCATAGTCCAGGTTCTGTGCTTAGACCTCCTCTCCGCCGCTCAACTCATGGATTGCGGCGTCGAATTAAGCACGGACTCTCGCACACGCGACATTCTCCTGCATTACTCGTCGCCAACAAAAACGCGCAGGCAGATCAGATGGGCACACTCCAAGAATGGAGTGTATATTATCGTATTTGACATTCCCGACTACAGTGGCGACTCGAACGAGCTAATCGACCTTGTTCCACTGCGCTTCGAGCACATCCACCACTCGGACTGGAAACACCCTAACGGAAGACCGTGGGTGCCACATCACCCGCACCCGCGTAAGCTGGCGTTGCATGACCCTGATCCAGACGGCATCTGCAAGGACTGTCACACGCCCACCACCTCAGCAAATGCAATCGCCGGCTGCGGACTCGCCGCAATCGCTGAAGCTGGGCGACACGCGCTGCCTGAGGAAGGCATGTCGGCCCTCAAGCTCCAAGTGGTAACAGAAAGAGTCTTCGGCCTGCCGAATCCGGAGCCAGGATAGACACTTCCCAGCACACCAGCTGAGCGGCTCGAGAGCATCCTACGGGACGACGCCGCGGCACCTTCGACAACCGTGGAGTGGCGCGGCCCTATACGAAGAAGGAATTTCTGAAAAATTACCCCCACCGGCGCGACCCCACGAAGAAGCTCACCGTGGCACAGGAAGAAGAACTGGCGCGCCGCGAAGATGAAGAGCCTAGCCAAAGAAGCATCGTTGAGGCACGCGGCACATTCGCATGCACCGCATGGGGGGCGGAAGAAGAAGACATCGCCTCCAATGAAGGGGGATTGGGACGCGCTGGCGGATGGGGAGCACGCGACACCGGAGGATGGGATAACACCGGCAGCACATGGGCTAACGCTGGCGGCGGCTGGGGAGCCGCATCTGACGGCGAGAACAGCGGCTGGGGTACTTCTGGTGGCAGCTGGGGAACGTCCCGAGAAGGATAAAGGGGGGAAGCTGAGGGTGAAACAAAACCCCCTGTTGTTCCGATCGGCCGTCCTCCGCCCCTCCCTGCACCCGCGCTACCTCCCCCTGACGTTCAGCCGCACCGTGATCCTTGGGACACCATCGACTGGGGCAACGAACCGTCGACCCCACGTCGCACAGGTTACCGATCCGATCCCCCGAGCCGTGCAAGCCTATCTTCGTCCCAGGCACAATCGCCGGTACCAACATCCTCTTCTACGTGATCCTCGACAAAGATTTTATGGCGCTGATG